GGCATGGCGCCCAGCTCGCCATCGATGCAAAACTACCGTGTCGCCACCGACGCGTGATGGCCTGCCTCACCCAAGCGCCAATGTTCAGCCTAGCATCTCGCTCCCACGCAGCTCGCGCAGGCGGGCGAAGGATGCAGTTTCTTGGCTCCAACGCCCCCCTGTTTCGATGCCGAACTCAACGAGTCGGCAGCGGCGTGCACGGAGCAGCTCCGGGTAGGTTTCCCGCCGTTTCCTTCGCCCCACGTCCCTCCTCCAGCTCCGTGCTGAATCTGAACCTGGTGCTGCTGGCGAACCGCCTGCTCTGCATGAGGTTTTGGCCGACGCACGCTTGCTCGTACAGCAGCGCTAGAGCCCAGTCGCTTGCCGGCTCGGCTCGCCTAAGCCTGTGCGTTGCGTTCCCCCGGCTCGCCGTAGTCAGCCCTGTGCACCGGGACCGCTTTGACTTCTGGTGAAAAGGTGCGTGGACAAACCATCTCGACATGACAGGCAGCACCTGCACCCGATTCTGCCATTTACACTTGTTCAGAAGATAACCAAAGGATATCAAAGGATGATATAGTATCCTTGTGAGTTGCGTTTCGCACTTCGGCATCGGGTCGGGTTTTCACCCAATCCGATGCATCTGGAAAAAGCCACGTTAGTGCATCATAGTGCATCAGGGCGGACCTCTCCCCAAAATGCTGCTAAAAAATATTCGGGCGCGAAGTACCTCTTGTGCAAGTAATCGTCGGCACGTGGGTCATGTGAAGCAAAAGAGCCCCCCCCTTAAGGGGGGGAGGGGTGGGGGGGTGGGCGAGGGGGGGGGGAAATAGGTGGCATACCTATTTCGATGTTTTTCATATGTTGGGGGGCTTGGGGGACTGTAGCGCAGAAGGTTGTGTGCTGAGTGGCTCAAGTTTCGGGTTGAGCGTGCGAAGGCGACAGCCTACTACTAAGGTATGTACTTCTAGCCCACCAGCTATGGCCTCGCCTAGAAGCCTTCCCCAAGCCTTGTAAGCCAGGAATAAATAGGTGGGAAAAGGTGGGGGGACCGTAGCGTGCAAGAGCCTTGCGCCTCGTAGGCGACCCCCAACCCCCCCTTCGACTCCACCTATTTCTCCTTGACGCTGGACTCCTTGCTATACTAGCCTACTACTCAGGCAAGTTCTTGGAGCTAGCCTATTTCTAAAAGAGGTGCAGCTCGCCCAGCAGCTATGGCCTTGCCTAGAAGCCTTGTTAGCTAAGAATAAATAGGTGGGAACAGGTGGGGGGACCGTAGCGTGCAAGAGCCTTGCGCCTCGTAGGGGACCCCCACCCCCCCTTCGACTCCACCTATTTATCCTTGATGCTGGACTGCCCATGCAGATAGAGGGCTGTCATGCTGCTGTTCTAATCATTTCCCACCTATTTCCAAACCACCCCCCACTGTAGCAAAATAGGTGGCGGAAATAGGTGGCACCGGGGGTTACCCCCCCCCCATTCTCACTATATTAGGGGGGGGGCTCTGAAGCAAAGGTCTGTAAAACAGGTGACTTCCGATCGGGGTTTGTACTGGAGCAAAGGGTCACGGCAGAAGTTTATCAGGATAAATCTCTGGGGGCCTAAAGTTCTGGAGAAGGGAACTGCAAATCAAACTCTAGGCCCAACCTTTTAGTGCAGGCAATCGTCGACGCAAATATGTTTGTCAAAATCGTACAACATGTACACGGACATGGCTTTCTCTGCTTGAAGAGCGACATGCCGTGATTTATGTGGTTTGGTGCAGGCTGCAATCTAAGCTGCTGCATGCCTGCGGGACTCGGGAACAAGCTTCTAGGCCACACGCGCTGCAGGAATGATTCGTTCTGTTCCTTCCAATCAAGCAAGCATCCCCTGGAAACAACTCTAGGGCTCACCCCCCAGGAGGCCTTCAAGTATCCAAAAAAACAACCCAAGATCACAACCCCTGGCCCAGATAAAACTCTGGGGCTCAACCCCGCGGCACGAGCAGCAGGAAACCGGATAAAGATAACGTTTGCGGCTTGACCCCCAGGGGATCATCTAGGCAGTACAGACCCCGATACTTCCGTTTGCCATAGAAGCTGCCCGTGCCAATGCGAACTCGTGCTGGAAGCCACGACACTCGCCCTCGTATTTCGTGCCGCTTCTGCACAATGCTGGAGATAGGATGCACTCGCGCTCCCGCACTCGAAGCACCATAGTTTTTTTTTTTTGTTCAACGGACTTTTCCGACTGCAAGAGGATCCGGTAGCTACGACAGTCCTACGGCATCACATTACTGCGTGCGGTCCTGGTTTAGGGCCGCAGGGGCAGGCGGCTGGGCGCCTCGTCAGCGGCGAGGTCGAGCACACGGTCCAGTGCTGGGCCATCGCCCGGCCCCGGCGCTGGGACGGCTGGCCACGCGCGACCCAAAGCCGTGCCTGCAACGGCGAGCTGGACTGCGACTGACAAGGCTCCCCACCAGCGTCGCGCCCACCCAGAGGACGCGGCGCGACGCAGTGCGGGCGGCGCACGGAGAGCTCGGAGGCGGACGAGGTCGCGGACGAGATGCTGCGCTGTTGCATTCCAGCGGGCTCCGATTTCCGAGCCCAGCACCAGTAGCTTCTGCGGGCCGCCCCTCGCGAGCTCCGGGTAGGTGCTTTGCTTGCGCCGCTCCGCGACCTTCAGCGCCGCCCCGTCCACCTCCACTGTGCATGGATGCGGGTGCCCTGTCCTCGTGAGGGGGGACACCAGTATCGCGTCGCAGCACAGCGCCCCGCCATTGGCTGTGGCGCCGTAGACAACAAGGTCAAGGCGCCGACGGTCTTCGGTTGGGACGCCGGGAGCAGTTGTGTGGGCGAGCCACTGCTGTGGCACGACCTGGCCTTCGGGTCCTACGGCCTCGCGCGCCACGCGGACCCAGGCGCGCTCGACCACCTTCGCACGTCTGGCCAACAAGCCCGTCCGCGAGCAAGCTAGGGCATGGTCGCCTAAGGGGTCCATGGCTCCACCACATCCGGGGCTGGGGCCGCAGCGGCTGGGGCAAAGAGGCAGGGGCAGGCGAAGGCGTCGTCGCAACGCGATGAGCATGGCCTGTGGCGGGATGCTGGTTGCCTGGTCGCACGGCACAGCGGTGAGCCACGCTCCGGCATGCGGCCCTGCCTGGGAGCGGAGCAGTGCACGCGAACTGGGCGGCAAGGAAGGCAGAAGCACGCAATCGCGAGAGTGTACGGTAAGGGTCCGCGACGCGTGGTACTGCCAGCCGTGCGGCCAGTCCCCGGCACCAGGGGCTGCAGGCGGGGCAGGACGGGCTCCTTCGAGGAGCACACGCCATGTTGGGCAATCGCTCCATCCTTGGTCCTGCAAGGTACGGCGTGCATTCGCTGCTTCTGCAAAGCAGTGCGCTCCACCTCCGGCGTCGGACTCGAGGAGGCGCGCATAAGTGGCCGCGCTTGAGGGCAGGCGCGCATTGATTGCAGGCAACGCATCCGCCCAGGAAGCCCAGTAGGCTGCAGGCGCTATCGCTTCAGCGGATAGCAACCCCAGCCCGCCCAGCGCACCTGGCAGGGCGGCGACCTGCCTCGCATGAGCGGCTTCCGCGTCGCCCATTCCGCCGAGCATGGCTTGCAGCGTGGCCCATATGGCATCATCATGTCCCCGCGCGTACGTCGCAGACGCCGAAGGGGGCATGGTGCGAATGGCATGGTTCGCACGAGGGGATGCGCACATTAGCAAAAGCAACCATGCACACTGTAGGTCTGGCAGCTTGGGCAGTTGGTCGAGGAGCTCTTGCTCGGCGCGCAGCCTATCCTCGGCCCATGCTTGCACGAAGGCAGGGTGGCCCACGGGCGAGCCAAGGACGACGACACCCTGTTGGGCGTCTGGCTTGTCGCCTCGCCACACTTCATCGCCCAGTTCCGCAATCCCGGGCGGAGCTGGACCTGCTTCGGCGGCGGTCACCCGAGTCTTGCCCAAATTGGAAGCGATGCCACACCGGGCTTCGACAGCGTGCACGGTCGTGTCCAAGGCGGCTCGCGCGCGACACGGCTGTGTGATAACATACAGGTCATCCAGAAAAGCGACGAGGCTGTCGTCTGGGTGAAGCGCCGCTGCCGCCTGTTGGAGAGCATCGTGCTGTCCCAGTGCGAAAAGCGCGGGAGCGAGGGCGTCCCCTTGCTCGCACCCTTCACCCTGAGGGACATCCCGGCAGCGGCCAGCGGAGTCCCACCAGCAGTAGCTGGAGGGGCTCCCGTAACACAGGCGCACGAAGGGGAGCAACTCCGGCGCCACCTCGCGGAGTTTGCCGAGAAAGGCCGCCCGCGACATGCTGTCGTAGGCGCTGCGGCCGTCCAGCGACACCAGCACGGCGCCTCTGCGTATCGCGAGGGCGGCACGCACGTGGGTTGCGAGGGCGTCTGTTCCAGCTCGCGCTTGCAACGCAAATTGGAATGGCCGCGTTGCCTGGTCGAACTTATCGGCCCACTCCCTGGCAAGCGCTTTCGAAACCAGACGGCGGAACATGTCGCCGGTAGCGATTCCACGCGCGCCCCCGTCGGGCTTGCGCAAAGCGGTCAGGCGAGCCATGGCGAGTGCCTTGCACACGTCAGCTGGCACGCGAGCCTGCGCGAGAAGCGTGGAGGCTTCCGCCAGAAGCTCGATGGCCTCACCATCCTGCAGTAAAAGCTTCAAGTGTTCCGCTCGCATGCCCGAGAGGCCGGGAGACCCGCCACGACGTGCGGAGCGGAGGGCGGCGGCGATTGCTCGCGTGCTGAGGTGCACCGGCTGGGACGGTTGGTGCTGAAGGACGTCCTGAGCGATTGCGGTCCGTGCCTCGGGAGGACGGCGTGCGGGGTCGGTCAAAGCGGCCCACGTAGCCTCGTTTCCGGGGGCCAGGTCGCAAGCAGTAAGCACCTGACGTGCGCGTGAAAGTTCGCCCTTTCGCACCTTCGCGCATGCCTGGTGCCGTTTGCGTTCGGCGATCTCGTTGGGGGGCAGTGTCGGGCTGTCGCGTGTTGGTCGGCTGACTCGGCGTGCCGCTTGTATCAGCTGGAGCCACTCCCCTTGCTGAAATGCTGCGGCCCGTCCCAGCAACTCGGCACGACCCTGCGAGCCTTGTTGCTCGGTGCGCGCAAGCAGCATGCGGGGTGCGAGGAGGAACAGCTTCCACGCCCTGGCAGCATCTGTGCCGTCGGGGTCGATGCTGGCAGCGCGTAGGCGTCGGAGTGCCTGCACGAGTGCTCCCCGCACCGCTGCACGCATGAAAGGAGGCGTATCTTGCAGCGTTGGAGCTGGGTGGCGCAGTTCGTCAACGAGGTCGACGCCATCCAAAGCCCTCCACGCCTTGGCGTCGGCCTCGGCAACTCGGCCCGGGCAGACTGGGACCGATTGGCAGTCGTCATAACGTCATTCGCCGGCTCGGCGTCAGCGGGCCGTGGCTCGCGGGGACGGTCGCGTGTGGAACGAGCGCGGCGTCCCCGTCTGGAACGTCTGGGGGGCGGACGCGCATCGTCGTCGGGGCAAGCACGCCGCACGTCCTCTGCCAAAGATTGAGCTGCCGAAGCGATTGCGACCCCCCCGTACGTCTGGAGAAGGGCCACTTGTGCTGCAGCGGGGACGTAACCTTGTGCATTCATGCAGAGGGCGAGTGCGCTTGGTAGTGGCACAGGCGCCGGCGGCATAGCGGTCAGCGCTTCAGCCGACGCAACGTCGGCCGCGGCCGCTCCGTGAGCCGGGTCGCGGTCGATGCAGGCTAGCTCGGCGTGCAAGAAACGGAGGATGGTGGATGGCAGTGCGGGGGCCGCTCTCCGTAACGCTCCCGCCAGCTCAGCGAAGCGCGTGCCGATGCGGGGGTGGGATTGCCAAGCCTGCGTAGCTGCCGGTGTCATTGCGCCGGCACCGGCGTGGAGCAGTGGTACGAAAAGCCACGAACACGTCTCGCCTGGTGCCTGGTGGGGTGGGCGGGCGTCTTGCCAGCACAGCGGCTCGCGGGCAGGGGCTGGCAGCAGCGTCGGCGATGCAGGTGGCGTGAACCCTGGAGTGGCGTCGCCTGCTTCGCCCGGCGCCGCTTCCCCCGCGACACCGGGTGATGCTTCACGCTCCAGCTCGCGAGGCGACGCGAACGGCGTCTGTTCGCTGAGCGTGTCGCACACCGTTTCTGCATCGGACGTAGCACCCGCGTCTGGCCGACGGAGGCCCATTTGCTCCAGCGCACGGAGAGCACGATGGCGTCGCTGGTTGGTGGTGTCGTCTCCCGGGCCTGGGTTGGTCGCCTCGCCGATTCGTTGACCGTTGTAAGGGTGCGGCGGGGACGCCCTGGAACAAAGGAGGACAGTGGCTCGTGCGTTTTCGGCTCCTGCAAGCGGGGCTCGAGTGCATGACAGCCAGGAACTGCGCTCGCCGGGCGAACATCCTGCCATGGTAGTGGCGCGACGCCGCTGGCAGGAGGCACGACCTGCCGAGCATCGTAGCCGGTGCATGCTCCGCCCTGATCCGTCACCGGCGGTGTTGATGGCGGCGTGAAGCCCCGTGTCGCCTCTCCTGCTGCGTCTGGTGCCATCGCGCCCGTGAGCGCATCTGGAGCCTCTCCACGTGGTGACGCGAAAGGGGTGATCGTGCTCAACAAGTCCGACAGGGTCTCGGCAGCATCGAGGTCCGCTTGGCGGTCGCGCAGTGCGGCCGGGCGGGTACTGGGGAGCAACTGCATTAGGGATCATTTGGGCAAGCGCATGCATGGCTCGTTCTCGGCGTTGCGCAACGGCAGCGCTGCATGGCGGGCCCGGGTGGGCAGATTCCCCAACTCGCCTGCCATGGCAGGGGTGAGGCGTCAGCTTTGTGGACGCTGGTGCCGCCCGGTCGTGCGTCGGCGCGCGGGTCGCTGGGCCGCACCATCGGCGACCGCATCGTCGGCGAGAAGGTGAGCCAGCAAAGAGGCCGACGTGCGACCATGATGCCTGCGAGAGTTCGTCCAACGCCGTCTCGCCGCCTTGCAGTATGTACTGCAACACCTCGTGCCGGTGCGGGTCCTGGGTGCGGGCCGCAAGCTCGCACATCAGGGCCTCCCAGTTTGACGGGGTGTGTGGCGATGGGCGACCGCCCGCTAGCGCGACGACCGCACTCACAGCTCGCCGGGAAAGAAGGCCGATGAGCACGCCCACGACCAGCCAACCCCACCCGAGAGCAAGAGGCCCAAAGCCCGGGGTGAAGTACCGGGGCGTCGCTCCGCTGCAAGTAAGGGCTGCGTGAGCCATGCTTTCCCTGCACGTCGGCGGCAAGGACGCGGCCCACCAGACAGCCGACGAAGCCGCCGAGTAAGCACCGGCGCATGCCGACAACAGCTGTCCGATCACGGCTGCCGACATGGCATGAGGCTACTGCCCACCAATCCTTGAAAATCGTCTTGAGCTATCCTTGAGCCAAAATGGCCGCACCATAGTTCGGACGATGCCTTGGGCCTTGGAGATGCTGCTGCCGCTTCAAACAGCGAATCTGCTTTCAAGGCTGCGTCGGTGTCCATGGCAAAGACTTCCACATTGCAACAACACGTGACCAGAATGGCAAATGTGTCCAAGCCCGAGGAAAAGAATGGCTCTGATTCACTGATGTCTGCTGCTCTTGCTCAACGACTCGCTCCTCGCCTTTCATTATCTTCTATCATCTTTGTAAAAGCATGGAGCTCTGCTTTGACTACGACCCGGTCTTCGACACCGTGGGGCAACTCAGCACAACTCAGCAGTCTCCGTCTGCTCTGTGGACTCCGTGAAGCTCTTAGGGTCAAAGTTTTGGCACGGGCAGCTGTTCCTCTTCCACGTATGCCTCGTCGTTGTGCGCACACAAATAGAACTCGGTGGGCTTTCCGAGGTCTTCGGACCGAAACCACATCTCAAACTCTTTCTCCAAATCCTGCTATAGTCATGTTTCTGAACGACCAGGACGCAAAGCAGCAGGCTGTGGCGAAGGCCGTGCTGGATAGCAAGGATGTGAATGATGTGACGGTGCCCTCGGCCAAAACATCAATCTCATGGTCCGGAAGAGGGACGGGGCCGGACGGGAACACAGCTTCGAGTGTTTTTTGTTGCATGCCGCAGATACATCACCGCAGGCTGGCGCATCCACGATAGCCGTCTTTCATGCGAGGGCAAAAAACTCGCCGACGTGCTTTGTGAACATGTCGGGCTGGAAGCTGGTTTCCGCTTGGCATTGGATGCAAGCTCACCTAATCCATGCATCTCCCAGGTACAGGTATCACCGCGGAGCTGCGCGCAGGTGCATCCTGTAGATCAGCACTAATTGAAGCGGCTGGATGCAAAAAAAATTGTTGCGGGCGCAGGAGCCACGTGCGCTCTCCCATCCTGCAGAGGTTCAAAAGCCTTGAAGTTGAAAAAATTGGAAAATTTTGGAAAACATGAACCCGTACAGCCGGCGCATTCCCTGCAAGGCCACCTCATCGGACTGGGAGTGTGTCCTGCCTAGGCCTTGACCGGCATCCCGCACAGCAAGGATTCTCACCGCAACGAAGTGCGCCGGAGTGGTGATAGCTCCAGCGCTTGTAGACGTGCAGCACGTCCAAACTCCCCAGGACTGTGTGCCTGGGCAAAACACATCGCCAAACGAAACGGTTGAATCGGAGGAACCGGTGTAAGCTCAATCCTTTGGCCGTGGCGTGCCTTGTGTGGCGAAACCAAGGTCAGCATGGAGAAGCTTTGCGTTTGCGGGTTCGCCTCGAGAACCAATGCCCGCAGCCGGCAAGCCGCCGTTGGAAGCTGCCACTGCCTCCATGACCAAGCCGGCCCAGGACCTTTCTCGCCACACGCACCTCTTAGATCCTTTGAGCAACAGATGGCACCAGCATGACAAAAACGGCCCGGCCCGTGTGCACTCGCAGTCTACGGTGTGCGACGCCGCTGAACTGCACGTCGGGAGGCCGGCGGCCGCAACAGCGGGACCGCAACAGCCCGATGGCGCGCAAGAAGGCTCAACAGCTGCACGAGCTGAGCTGCACGGGTTCGCCTCCAAACCGGCCACCGACCTTAATCCTGACAGTGACAAAACGGCAGCTACGGCAGCGTCGGGCATGACCGAGTTCAGGGTATGTGTTGCGGCGTGCCGCTTTCGTCACAGCACGCCGGCTGGTACACGACGCCCACTCGAGTTCTACTAGTAACTAACTAGTACTAGCTACACACGCTTCCTGGCGCGCGGCAACTCGACCCATCCGCGCAACGTCGACTCACATCACGACATATCGCGAATACGTACATGCAGGTTTTGACGGAACACCTGGCAGACTGTTAAATCGGCACGGTGTCTGCACCTCGCACGACACTCTTCCCACAAAGTGAAGCTAACGTGCATAGAGACGCATTACAGTTGCAACGGCACGTTGAGTTTCGGGGGAACCCGCCCGGCGCGAAACAAGCGAAACCCCAATTGCACGCTGGGTTTCGGGCATCACAGCTCCAAGTGTCAATTTATCCAGTTGCATATGGCACGACATTTTCCGCGAAACGTGAAGCAAAAGTGCAACCAAACGCGCGGGAACTGCACATTTGCGTCGCCCGTCCGAGTCCGTTGACGGCCATGGTCTTGTAAGGGCACGGCGAAATACGGCGAATGAGGAAATTTACTCAAACAAAATGGTCGCTGTACATCTGTACAGTTTGGCAAAACTCGTTGACGAAATCACCCGCATATCCAGACCCTGCTTACGGCATCCCACGGATACATACATCCAAAGTTGAGATTCAAAAAACTGCCTTCGGTCCGAGCGTCTGCGCATGTGCCCTCGGTAGCCGCTAGCCATTGTAGCATGACAGTTGGTTTTAGTCGGGTTTTGAATCTCAATTACAGCAAGAATCCTGAAACAAAGGGCGCGCTGCCACTGGGTTGGTGGGGTGCCAGCGTAACAGCTAGGTCAAAGCTTCTGAGCAAGCTCATGAAGAGACTTCCCAGAGCAAAAACAAGCAAGTCTCCAATTGGAGACATATCCGTTGTCTCACTGGTGAAAAAACAGATACTACATTTGATCATAGCCGACAGGCCGAATAACTCAAGCTATGGCCCGCAAATCCCGCAATTGTACGTAGTGACAGGCGTTTTTTTTTTCGACCCGAGTGTCACAATTTTGTGCCGGACCGAAACAACACCGTTACACCGGTATACACAGCATCCATCAGCATCCCAAACTCGCCCAAGCAAGCAACAACAACCAAAGAACAACGTAAATGACACCGTGCTGGAACGATTGTCTACCACGGCACTATGGATCGGATCATCTTCAATCACATCTCACATGCGGCAGCTGCATGGCACACAGCCCCAACAAATGCAACCCTTAGAAGCGAGTCAAACACAGAACAGGCCAAGGGTTGGTCGCCGTCAACATTCGCGGTGCCGGCGAGGGAAAAAACAAGGAGGCTGGCATCGAAGACTCTGGCCCAAATCTGGCGGCAGAGAAACCGAACAAAGCAAACCATCGGGAGGGTAAAGAAGGCCATATGCAGCCATGGTTGCAGGCCACAACGGGCGGAGCATGGCGAGGCACAGTGCCCGCTGCTCCTCCCCAAAGCGGGAGCGCAAACATGACTTCGATGCGGTCGTCATCGAACCGCGCGGGGTGGATGTTGAGGTCGCGCAACAGAACATTGCGAGCAATGGGAACACAATATGGGCAGCGCGGTGGCCACCGAGAGAGTCAACAGGACGGCGGCAGTGACTGGCTGCAGCGTCGAGCGGCAAGGGCAAGCGAAGCCGGCAGAGCAACAAGGCTCCGAAAAACAGCTGATCAAGGGGAGAAGTGAGAACGTGCCCAGGACCAACAGCCTCGCACGGACCTTGCACCAACATGTGCGCAAGCACCCATCCGCGTCCGGCTAGCATGAGATGTAACGCGAACATACGGGCACGTGCGGGGGCACACAACGCCGTCATCCCCATGCGCATCGATTTTTGCACACTGCATGGCCACGAGGGCGGTCATCCGTGCCATGCGAGAGGCGGCGTCTCAATGACAGGTGCATCTATAATCATCTCGGCGCTGCATGGCCATGCGGTCTCAAATGAAGTGGTGGCAACGGCCGAGAAAACATTGCACGGAATGTTTTTCCTTTTTTCAGAAGCTCCACCATCGCACGACGTGTTGCAAGCCTTTCTGGGCATACTTGTAGCAAGGCAAACGCTCAAAACAACCGAGATCAGGCCGACGCGTTGGCAAAGTGCAAGCTTTCCATCGACATTCAAACATCGAAAAATGCGAAACAAAAACACTGGAATCCCCTGCAGCACCTACCCTACAGAAGCAGGAACACCAAGCACTTGCGGCCGGACGGACAGACAGACAGACAAACGCATCCCTATGGCCGGCATCCTCTAAGCTCTCCCACATCAGTACACATCACCCGAGTGTGGACAACATCGACGATAATGGAACAACAGCCGCCATGCAGACGCTGGCAAAACAGCAACAAAACAAACTCCGCTAAAACATGAGACACTCACGGCGACAGGCATTCCCCCAACGGAGCATTGCCATGTTTGGAGTGCGTCACAAGATCCACATGATACACGTACTGAGAGCTGTGGGCAGGGTCGGGTGCTCCGAGCTGACCACGAGAGCTCCATGCGTTTATGTGGCACACTGACCTCCCAAAATGGGCTAGTTGTGGTACCTGGGGCCTCGGCCCACAATGCGAACAATTATTTTGTTTCGAACATCGCCACCCTACAGATCATGCATCTCAAAGGCCTAACACACGTCGGGCACTCCAGGCAGTCTCACGGCAGTCTGTGGGGCACTCCAGGCAGTCTCACGGTAGTCTGTGGGGTTGGGCTCACAGGCAGTGTCTGGAGGGAGGTAGTCTCAGCGGGCGAAGAGTAATAGCTGACTTTAAAATCTAACAACCCCACACCCAGGGTGGGGAACAACAGTCTATCAAGTCTGCCTGTCCTGGAGAGCCGCTTCCCACACGTTTGGTGCAAATAACTCGTATAAATATACACCGGATTACACAGGTGACATCCCAGGTGCACCGGCACAACCTGTGCAGCGGTGGCCTTCTCGGATACCGCAGCTTTCACACGGCTGGGCCTCAACCAAACCTTTAGGCACCTTCGTTGCAGGTAGGGAATGGGACGACGGATCTGCATGCAACGGTGAACGTTGTCATTCCGTGTCGGCGGACAGCGCTGGACATGTACGTACGTGACTGTGGAACTGGAACTGGCGTTTGCGATGGACACGACTGAGACATACTGAGACTGAGACTCGATCGGAGCAGGGACCAAAACACCGACAGCCAGCCGGAACACAACCGCCAAACTGACCGTGTTGAGCACGGCACGGGACTCGATCATGACAACGACATAAACACCGACCAACCGGGCATAACTGGGTAGAGCGAAACTCGACCTGTAAGAACAATGCGTGGAACGGAACCACCGGGAAACCGGTACACCTCGGGCCGGGACACCGACGACACCCACCACGACGGCGGCTCTGACGGGCACCTTGATCGGGACACGACCCAGACACCGACCGTGATACGACCTTGACCGCCTTACGACCGGGACACCCAACCAATTTCACATAAGAGCGGGACAGCCACTGACCTCAAACTTTTTCCGAAATCGGGGTAGCTGCGCTGCCCGACCAGATAAGCATGGATCCCTGGTGGCTTATTATTGGGAAGCATGTCCGCTCATCAGGCAAAACGAGCCTGATCATTCCGAACTGGTGCTCCGCCAACAGAGTTCGCGAACTTGCTGAGGTTTCCATGCATTCGTTATCCACACTAGCATTCATGAGTGGGCTGCATGTCTGCATCGTCTTGCATTGTACACCACCGGCATGCAGCCTGTGTCTGCGCAGGCGCTGAGCATTGGTCAACAAACTCCAAGTGCTGCATGTGCATGCACTGTTTTGCAGAACTGATGGAGGAGTTGGCAGACTTTCTCACTGAAGTGCCACGCCCAGGTTCTAGAGCAAAGTCGGCAAGTGTGTTCCGTCGCCTTGCCTCTCTACGGCAAAGATCCCTTCGCTCGATGTCTGATCCACGCATGCGATCAGCAAGGCGAAACTCTTTCTACCCCGAGGCTCCAAAGTAGGTCCTTTTTGGGGTTCATATATAGAATCCTATAAGGTAATCCCAAAAACGAACTACTATATGGAGCCTCTCGGTAGGCCGTCGTCAACTCGACTTTCATTCGGGGCGCGTGTTCAAGGATCGAGGCGTCCAGCGCTTAAACCACACATATCATTTCATTGCAGTACACTAGTATTAATTCTTAATACTAGTTATCACGACTATTCTATTAATATTATACTGTTAATAGTAAATTGAAGGAATGTTGCCGAAGACCCGACCTCCACTGCAAGCATAAGTGACTCGGCCAGCCACACAAAGGCGAGAACCTCCGGCCGAAACCGATAACACGTAGTATAAAGGGGCCTGAATAATTACAATAGGGTCTTGGGGTAATAATGGTATTCTATATAAATATATTAAGGCCCCTATAGTATGCCCTTTTCTTGCTTCGCTCTCCAACGAATGCACGCTCGTTAGGCGCAAACTGCAACTGTCGGGAGTCGTGCTACCGACAGTGTCACAAGTGCCACTTTGTGCACGAAACTACACTCTCCAGGCCAGCGTCAACCGAATGGAAATCGAATCTTCGTCATGTGCTGCCGCTCACCACGCGTGCTGGCTGTCAGAAAGCCATCCTTGAGTGGAAAGGCGGAGAGGCAGATTGCAGGGCAAGTCTTCAGGGACTGAAACCGATCTGACAGTGCTTGTGAAGTACAAACTCAGGATAGACCCAAGCCAACATCTCACTGCGCCCAATTTTTCGGTAAGCATTGAAGTAAGGATGAGGCCTGCAAAATATACGCGGTGCTCCCTAAACTGACTGCGAAAAGGAGAAGAAAGTGAACCACCCCTGATCGCCCTTTGGGATTTTCGCAATTAGAAGGATCCCAGTGCAGAACAATGATGAAGCAGTGTAAGGGCCCTATAATTAATGGCGACCATGGCGACCCTTAATTGTCGGACACCCCCTGTTCCAAGGAAGGGGCGTGGCCTATGCATCCAAGTGGCCGATTCTCGGTCCGTTGGGGTCACGATTGGGATCTCCTGGCGGCTCAAATGCTTTAAGGTGGCCTATAGAGATACGCAACACGAAACAATGATGGACCACTAGTGACACTAGTGGGCAGTCCGCACAGTGAACGCAGGTATTGCTTGTGATTTCGGCTGCCATATATAGCTGCTAACGCCGCACAGCGATCCATCTTGTTGACCCTGCTCCCCTCAAAAACTGGTGCGACTAGATCCACAGTGTCAGTTTGAAGATAGTGGAGTTCCAGAAGACATGCCACCCAAACCCTTCAAAGCAAGAATCTGCGCACAAAGACCGTCAGGATCCCTTCACTCCATGGCCCTTGTTAGTACTTGGAGGATCATCGGACTTAGTAAGTAAGGTTATAAGTTATAAGATGTTATAAGTACCCTAGTTGGGGTTATAAGTATATATATATAAAGGTTTCCGAGCCAAGGAAAGTCCTCAGTTGACACCCATCGAAGCTTTCGGCAGGCCCGAAAAACTCTAAGCTTCCACACCCCATGCACCGCCTTCTTCAGAAGTAAAGCTCGAGATGGACGTCGGCACATCTATGCGAACGCACCGTATCGTTACGTGCTTGTGTTGTAAGCCGATTTCCAAGGTACCTTGCACAAACCGTCCCCCCAATCATCTCGCGGATGTAGGCAGTCCTCCGAGGTCGGCTTCCAATAGTTCCGGTCATACTCCTCTTCAGATTGTGGATCCTGCACGGGCCAACTGTCACTCAGTCCGCGTAAAACGTCAATGCTTGGGTACACCTAAGTGCTCAGAACTTCGGCGCGCCGATGTTTTGATGTTCCCAAATACATTCCTTGTACGACCGGTGAGACGTGTGCAGTGCATGCCTCTGGCTTGCACGATCTCAGAGCTAAGCTAAAACTGTAAAACTCGAAACTGGCTGCAACTCGCGGAACTCGGAAACAAGTTGTCCATGACATTCCCCGACTAAAGCTGCACAACCCACAATTCAAAAAGAACCTCTCTCTCCTCTGCATTCACCTGTTGTAAACAGTACCAAGGCACACATATGCAAGAGTGGGTCTGCACCGAGCCTAACACGCGACATGTGGCCCCATTCTGTCGAGCGAAAGTCGTATGCCTCGTCCTGGAGTAAAACCATCTCCAACAGCAACGGTCTGTCTCACTTTCCGTGGCTTTACACACGAGGCTGAGCAATGTTGGATAACGTCATGGAATGATTTGTGTCCGGCCTCCAGAAGTCTGCATGCGCCCCATCGGCTCATCGGAGCTCCGGCGGCCTCGAATTCCAGGCTCGCGTGCGGTTTCGGGTTAAGGGTTTAGGGTTCAGGTTGAGGTCTTAGGGCGCAGGGACTGCAGGCTCCTGCAGAAAGGAGTGGGGAGTGAGAACAACTTTGCTTCTGATTAGGCCCAGGCCTGCAGGGGCTATGGATGCAGCATGTCAAACGACTCACAGGGCCACGCACATAAGGCCAGAACCTGTAGACAACTGCAGTCAAGGGTCCAGCGGCTACTCCGGTGCGCGAGAGGTCGGCTTCAACAGCCAAGTGCACGAGGACGATGTTGTTGCTGACGCCGGCCACATCCGCAGCCACATCAATGGCAAACAGCCTCTTGAAAGAGTGTAACTTCTTCTTTGCGTCATCATTCTTCTGTCGCGGCCGCCTTCAGATTCCTTGGCTCCGCTTGCGACATGAGATGGACGAGAAGAAGCACGTGCTTTCTGGCTGTTGGCACGGCGATTGCTTGGCACATTGTCTGGCTAGCGCTCAAAGGCTGGTGCTACTCTCGAAAATGGGGCGTGAGTTTGGGAACAGGAAAACGGTGCTTGTCGTAGTCGTTTTCGAGGCAATTCTTGTCCACTCCCGCCGACTGCAGTAGTATAAGAAAAAGGCTTGAGAAGCGTGTTGGCAGGGACAGAACCCTGCACTCTGTGGGAAGTGTGCACTTCTTACTCCGGAAAAAAGCAGAAACTCCTCAAAGCTCGGGTGATGCACCCCCAAACCGCTGAAATCCCCTAAACCCTAAATCCTAAACCACCGAAATCCCTCTCTCCTCAGGACATGGCCCGGCTGTATTCACCATGGCAGACATGACTGCCGGATCGGTCTTCTCCAGGACGTAGTCCACGAACCTGGGAACGTGGAGACTATTGGCTGGGTAAGCTTGGGTTTAGTTTAGGGTCGAAGTCTATGGTTTTGTAGGCGCTTTTGGGAATGTAGGGGTTTGGAAAACTGCGGGAAGCCGAATCTGCGATCGCAGAGGAAGCCTTCATTTTGATAACTGGCCCATGTGGCGGCATTTGGGATGGCATCGCTGCTACTATCGTGCGTAAGCCCCGCGCTGCTCTTGCCCGTCTCCAGGATAGTATGGCATTTGCCCCTTGTACTTCCTCACGAGGATGAGCCAGCTGCCAGAGAATGCTCCAAAGGCTGTAATTAGAAAAGGGGTTTGGGGGCAAATTAAACTAGACATGTAAGTATCAGGAACCCTAGAATACCGTTTGGCCATCACATACCATATAGTAAGCTACACAGCCCGGAGAAGATGAGCAAAGACAAGAACCCTAAATCCTAAACCAGAAAGTCCTCACAAAGTAGAAGGTGTACAGCGGATACAAGAGCCTCGGCTGGCTTGCGGCACTGCATTCCATTTGACCGACAATTAAGAACAATAATATAGGGGCCCTAATAATTGCAATAGGGTTTTGGGGCCCCAATACTATCATATTAATCGGGAATCCACAAAATAGCATACGTAATTATCTTATTAAGGCCCCTGTAATAGTGCAGCTGAAGTAGAGACTGATCACGTTTTTTGTCTTATACGAAGTCGTGTGTAGAGCAGGGTTCAAATCACTCAACACCTTGCTACGACGAAAGCTCCATTGTGAAGCCCGGTCGAGCATCTCTTTGTACCAATTTCAGAGCAGAAATAGAACCTCAACTATGCAGGCCAGTCCAACTTTGCTCCAATCCTGACAAACAAGAAAAACTTGCAATGTGCATTGCAGCAGCCTCTTCGGCCTTCATGATATCGGGGCCGTAGCACATCCGAGAAGGATGTAGGGGCTATACTAGTCCACTTAGCATCTGAACTGCAAGCGGATACCGTTGCTGCTTCACTGAACCCGTCTTGTTGGTCCGGTGCTGGCCCGTGATTGGGCCCTATATAAGCCCCTCAACTCAAAGCAACCGGAACCGTACAGAGAGGCAATTGAAAATTGGAACAGGTTTGGGGGTATACTAATACTTGCAGTATGATAGGGGACTATACGGGGATACTCTTACTAAGTTTTCCTACGCTTAAGTCACCCTCGACTCCTTCCGCCGTCGTCTACAGCACCCAGATGCTTCGCTGAGCCACAGCAAGGAGGCCGAAGCAGCACCGATGGCACCCAACCTCAGGAGCAAGTTGCTTAGGGTCAGACACAGCCTCTTGTATGTGTGGGTAGGCCTTTCAAACTGGACGGTTTAAGACTTACAAGGTCCAGGTGCAAGACATCGTAAGACTTAGCAGTAGCATGTATAAGGATTACACGGTTGGGAATTATCAGATGCACGGCTTCAAGGGGCTTCAAGTCCACGAATCTTCCGTGCGGGAAGCCTTGGGCTACGGGAGAAAGGCTTTCCACATTTACCTCAAGGTAGTTACTGTCTCCATTGTAGCGTTTTTGGCTGAGCAAATTTATATATATATATATATATATTGTAGGATCCTAAGCACAAAACTGGTCAACCAAAAAAGGAAGTACAATGGAGACTGTAGGTAGTTTTGCTAGTGGGGAGATCAGTTGCTTCTGCAACTGGCTGGCCAGGCCCCCGGCAGCCAAGGGTCCAGGAAGGGGGTCGGCGCCGGCTGTGGGCCGGGAGGGTACAGCCTCAGACTCAGTGGTGATGATTCTTCGGTTTTCGGGTCTAGGATTATGGGGCTTGGGCTTCAATGGTCTAGGAATGTGAATTAAAAGTGTAAAGTTGTGGGTTCAGTTCTGGGTTTGTTGGAGTTACTCGTGACAAGGGCAGAGGAAGAAATCACAGTCACTGGGCTGAGCTCTTCGCTGGGATTGCGTCATGATGCGAATCTCGTCCACAGGAACAGGAAGCGAAGCAAACCAGTCATCGATCGAAAACCTTGGCCACAGGGAACACTCTCAGTCGCAAGGGATCCTCTTAGGCCCCGATACCCTAACCGGGTACAACCATAAACTCCCTAAACCATGATTTTTGATGAAACTCTATACCCCAATACGCTTAACACCAACCCTAAACCCTAAAACCTAAACACTAAAACCCTAAACCCTAAACCCTGACAACCAAGGAGTCTGCCACTCTTCTGGCTCGTCGTGTTGCACGAAAGGGTTCTCCACCTGAGACGGCAGAGCCTCTGCCCGCACCACTTTACAAGCTGCTACTCTTTATGTGCATGTGCATGCACATAAAAAGTAGCAGCACAATGTACAAGTTACAAGCCCTCTTCTGTGAACCATCAGCCAAACAACCTAACACCGAAACTTCTTAAACTCCACGTCCTGCACCCAGCCTCGAGAAAAAAGAAGACGCCCAGGCCCCCCTTCGCAGACTCCCACTTGTGGAATCGGACGTCCTGCAGATGCCATCATGTGCCCGTTGCTTAGTAGCAGCTGATAGCCTTGTCAGTAATATACCCCCCCCCCGATTGGGACAATATACCTCTACTGTGGCCCTCCTGTACTCATAGCTCCCTTGACCCTTTAAGTCTAAACCCGAAGAAAGCCTAAACCCTATGGCTGCAGGCTCCTGTGGCGACACTGCCAGCGTCTCGGCGGACTTGAACAGCACCTCCTTCAACCTTCAGCTGATTCATGGGTTGAGGGCTCAGGCTTTAGGGTTTAGGGGTGCGATCTGCCGGGTTCAGCTGAGTCCCTGCCGCTTGTGGTGCGTATGTCGTTGCTATGCTTGTTCCAACTTATTGCATCTTCACGACATGCAAAAAAGCTGAAGGCCATATTCAATCTGCATATCGCTGCAGATCTGTATCTATGTACGTATGTACGTATGCCGGTCTGTCTGTAACAAACACACACATGTATATATGCATATATATATATGACTATATATGTGAGTGTGCATACACAATATACAGGTGTTTTTTGTGCTCCATGACTTCATGCACGTTTGGAGGCGTTCGCCGACAAGGAAGCACTGCTGGGTGCCGGGAGCCCAGGCGTGTCTGAGCTGTCCAAGAAGTCTTCCAGGGAGATCCGGAGGGTGAGTCTCAAATAAAATCCTGGGCTGAAGGGAATGAGTTGAGGGCTCCCATTATCAGGGGTTCTATAAGGAAAAAGGGGTTTGGGGCCTAAGATAGCGCAAGGGTTCAGAATTGATGGTTTGAGGGCTTCGGATAGTAGTAGTCGCTCTTATTCTCGGGTGCTAGGCTGAGGGCTCTGAGCATTTGGGCTTCGGGGTGTCGACAGTCTCAACTTGAATCCCGGGCAGCCCTTTTGTGGGTTTGGTGCTTCGAGTTTGGAGACAAAGAGAATGCCGGGGAGAAGCTGTCTTTCTGCTTTAGGGTGCAGTGTCCACAGATTACAGAGAGTCTACGAACCACCCTAAAGCCTAAACAAGTACGCCCCAAGAATGGGGAGGGAGGAGGGAGCCCGGGTCCTGGACAGTCATTCCCGCGGGGCGTTGATTTGAGGTTCGTCGTGCTGGGCTGTCGGTTTAAAGTCCAAATCTGCCTGAGTCATCAGAATAAGACTCCGAGCAATTTAACATAGGGGCCTTAATGCTAGAATGGAGTTTTGAGGGGCTCCGTACTAAAGTTATAGTATAATTTGTCGAGAGCGAAAGAACTCGATTGCAGCTTCATCAAAGCTAGGATTACTTAGCTTTGGTTGGTGGGGAATGGAGGAATGGGGTACAATTATAACTACTATTACTACCATTCTTCCATTCCCTACTAACCAACGGTAAGTTTAAGGAGCCCCTTAAAGTTAAGGAACCCCTTACAGGAACCTTAAACCTTGGGTTACTAAGTCCCATGATCCTTTAAGTCCTATAATTCCCTGCTAACCAAAGGTAAGAGTACCCAGACCTTCCAAAATCCCTTAATTAAGGTATATACCTTAAATTATACTAGGAGCCCTAATACGAATTATAAGGTATATTCCTTAATTCAGGGGTTTTGGAAGGTCTGGGTACTTTTTGGAGTTCATATATAGAATCCTACAAGGTAATCCCAAAAAGGAACTACTTTGGAGCCTTAGGGTATCCAAAGGTCAGAGTAGGGACCCGGAGGCGAAAGCTGAGATCGGGGCTCTCCACTTCCGTGCCAGCGGGAGCCTCCGGCAGGTCTCAGGCTTAGGGTTTAGAATAACCCTGAAGAACTTACCTTAGGACTTTTTGGGGCTCCCTATTATGATTTCCTTATATAAATCCTTAAAAAGGTAGGTTCTTCAGGGGTTAAAGTAAAGTTCAGGTGTTTAGGGGTTCGCTTTCTTCTTTTTTTGAAGGGCTTGGTTTTTAGGGGTTTGGGGTCAAGGCATTCAGAGTTTAGGGTTTACCTGGACCCCGAAAGTTTGTAGAAGAATAGCCTTTTAGAGTTGGGCCATTATTTTACCTACTTGTCGGGAGGGGCTTAGGGTTTAGGGGTTGGGGACATGGGGTCAGAGTGTACGTGTTTACGGGCGTAGGCGTTTGGGGGCTTGCGGGTTTCGCGGCTTGGGGTTTAGAGGCTGAGGTATGTCTCATAAGAGTAGCGAGGCGAGGCCGTACTAGTCTCTGAGAGACTACGATTTTTGATTAAGGAATATACATTTAGCAATGAGATCATGCCCCGTTTAAGCCAAAGCATGCTCCTGAATTCAGAGGTCTTGAGCCCTCTTGCATTGCTGCCGCTGCTGCTGCTGCTGCTGCTGCTGCCGTTGTTACAGTCCCTGCTCGTTTTGCGGCCTCGTCTAACCACTGCTCTGTTGTTCTGGTCATGGGTATTTTTATAGTGCAGAAGCTGGCATGCTTTGGCCATCACGAGCAATCTTTCTTTGCCAGTACCCAACGGGGTTCTTCTTGATTGGAAACTCCCAGTTATCCTTACCGGGCAACCCTACACCTGTGTCGAAATCCCAAACCCTGTTCCCAAGTGCTTTTACTGCAACCCTTTTGCGGGAACTGCCCTAAAGCTGCAAACGCCTAGGGCTCCAGTTTTCTAATAGGAGGTTACTATACTACATACCCCAGTATTTAGGTAACTGTACCTTCGGGATTGCCTTGGTCCCATGCACCACATAATCTCGCTGAGCTCCGTGGAATTCTTATGCGCTCCGTCATTCGAAAGACTACGCCCTGAACCTGATACAGGGGTCTTTATTGTTACAATAGGGTTTGGGGGGCCCACCATACTATAATTACAATAAGGAACCCCGAAAACAGTTTGGTAATTATTTAGGCCCCTATAATACATAATGGCAGTCTCTGCAACAAAGTGTTCGATCCTTCTTGATACTGAGGTCGCAAGAGAGACCGGAGTCCTCCTATGTCAAGGTGTAAGGTAATCTCTTAAGTGGAGCGTCTTACAGCGAGGGTTTCGGGTGTTCGCGATCTGGATTCATATGGGGGTTTCCGAAAATAGGGGACCCTAGTATAGTACCCTAAACACTAGGGATCCCTCCTGAGGTCTGACTGGATGATTACAGTACAACTTCCCTGGCAACAGCCACGAAGACTAATATAGGGGCAGTAGTAGTTAGAATAGGGTTTCGGGGCCCGTTATACAATAATTACAATAAGGAACCCCCAAAATTGTTTAAGTAGTTGTTTAGGCCCCTATAGTATTCCTGCTCGGACGACACACGGGCTGAGGCTGTAGCAATCTGGCAACGCTGGCTGGTGGGCTGCACGAAAAATCCGTACAGGCAAGACCTTACTGCTCAGTGTGGATTTCCCAACCTGACCATCCAAACTAACAGCACATCAAGAACCGCTGTTGGGAGGGGAGGTGTGGAGAGAGCTACAGGGAGTGCTGAAAGACCTTCGGGTCCCCAGAAGAGCAACCTCTAAGTGGAACCCAGAGGCAGGCCCCAGTCGATCTGAGGGTTGGGGGTTTGGGGCCTACAAAAGCATGGTACATGCTGTACCAAAGTCGCAGGGACCGTCCACCTAAATGACGCGCGGAAGCCTTAAACCGCGAAAAGCCTAACCGACTGCAAACCCGAGCCGCATTTCAATACTGATCCCTCAATCCAACTCCTCCTCCAGCCCTCCTGCTGGTTTTCTGAGCCGAGCAGAACCGAACCACAAATGAAATCGCGCTGAATCGCAAACGGCTCAAGACCCATCCCCAAAACCGAAACGAACCGAAACGACATGCTTCTTCATCTTTATTCAATCGGGCTTGAACCTCCCAGTCTCTTTTAAATTGTCAAGCGTCTTTGCGGCCTATATCAGCTGAGGGCTTGAGACTGTTGACTGTTTCCTTGATTCTACCCTCCGAGTGCCCGGGCAGGTCACAAGAACCGACGATGGCAATCTCCGAACTAGGCCGGAGGTAACGCGAGGGCGGGCAGGAGATGCCTCACGGGCTTCCAAGGATCTTGAAGCTAGGGTCCAGCGTCTGGGGCATAAGTGCTTGTGGGCTTCATGGGTTACAGAATTTGAGGCTTAGACCAGGGTTCGGGACTGCGGCCATCTACTGGAGAGGCCGAGATTGCTGTTTGCCCGATACTTTCAGATCCAGGAAGACGGACAGCACACGAGTGACTACTAGTGCTCATGCAAGGAAACCCGGCCAAGTCAAAACCGCTGCGCGATGCTGCAAGTAGGGATCTGGCAGCCCCAAGGGGAGCCATCAGCACATTCCAGGCAACTCGAATCACCTTGGAAGCATGAGAGTGGTGACTAGCATCACTGCCTTGCGGAGTCGGGAGTTTGTGAAAAGATCCAAAGTCCCGGTACGGTCTCGACCAACCCTGGGCATCGACCACGGTGTCCATCAAACTGGTGCACTTGGGACCGCTTGTCTGTCTCGACAAGCGCCGCCAAGCTGTGCAATGTGAGGGTTGCTACAAGAATTTACGAGAAGAGTTACGATAAGGGTTTAGTAGAGTTGGCGTGTCCATCCCATGTGGAACGTTAGGGCTAGAGTTGTGGGGTATTGTACGGTCTACTGTACTATACTTACACCAGGGACTTCCAGGAACTATAACGGGCTAATACTTCTTCTGTAGCCCGGCACCACATACATCTCTGGGAGCTCAAGAATCAACGAGAAACCACATCTGAGTTTCATCAACTACCGGTAGCTAACGGAAGTTGGTGTAAGGTAAGAAAACTAAACACGAAACTCCTGAGCACTAAACACATACACTTTAATTTCCTAAACTCCTAACACCCTCATTAGACCTGCTCACCAGACTCCTAGGCTCTACTAAGGGGTTTTAGGGTTTAGGGTTTTAGGGTTTCGGCCCCACCCCACAGCCCTAAAGCAAATCCCGAACAGTGAGACACAGCCGCAACAACGAACAGCCCCTGCTTTCTCTAAGGGCGCCGCAAGGTTCGCAGCGCTCCGTGCTCGTGTTGAAGTACTGCGTTGACGAAGGGCCTTGACTTGAGGACATTGAAGACGATTTGCTGTCATTTGCATTGTACGTATAAGTAGATGCAGACGCACAAGTACTGTAGGCAGTTGTTGCATATAGTTTGTAAAGGATAACTCATGACAAATTGCAGTGTAGATTTTATACATAGGCCACACATGTGCAGGTACGTCGAGGGGGGTAGCATATATATATATATATATATATATATATATATGTGTATATATATATATATATAATATGCGCATGTCTCCATGTGTGTTCATGCCTATTCGCTCTTGTACCTGCGTTCGCGGTGTTGATGCTTTGTTTTATACCATTAGCAGAGAGGCGGTGCAACTGCCGACCGGTCACCCTAACTAAACCTAAACCCTGAACCCTATACACTAAACACTGAACCCTAAACCCGAAATCCTGAACCCTTAACCCTAAACTCTGAACCCTAAACCCGAAATCCTGAACCCTATACACTAAACCCTGAACCCTAAACCCGAAACCCTGAACCCTTAACCCTAAACTCTGAACCCTAAACCCTAAACCCTAAGCCAAGACCCGGGCATGCGGTGTAGAGGCACTTTCCGTCTGCAAGGATCAGGGGCGGCACGCAGGACTGGGCAGTCGAGGCTTCGTGTTGAGGATCTGCCTTGGGGTTTATACCGACACTCCCAAAAGTATACATAATGACCCAACTCCTCTAAAAGGCTATTATTCTACATACTTTGGGGGTCCAGGTAGGGCTGAATATCAGGGCCTTAATAATTAGAACAGGATGTCGGGTACATTGCTTATACTATAGTCATAACGAGGAACCCCAGAATAGTGTAGGGAACAGTTAAGGCCCCGATATTACAGGTTCAAGCTTAAGGCTTCGATTTCGAATCTCTCGCGGTTCATGAAGGGTTCTGGCCCTCGCTGGACAGAGTTCAGGGTTTAGGGTGGCATAGCGTTTAGGATGGTTCAGGGTTTAGAGTCTAATGTAAGGACCTGAATAATTAGAATAGGGTCTTGGGGGGTTCCTTACTTATAGTACTAGAATTAAACAACCACAAAGCACGATTCTAAACATCAAGGCCGCTACATTAGGGTGGTTCAGGGTTTAGGGTCTAGGGTGGTTTGGGGTACAGGGTTCGGCCCCCAGAAGATGGCTGTTTTGCCTGTCGCAGGCTTCGCGAAGCTCTTGCAGTCTCTTCCATGTGGGTCGTTGTCAAAATTACGGTCCTTGTTTTGGGTACCCTAACTATTAGGTGCCGTATTATAATAAGGACCCAAGAAAGGACCATAATTTGGACAATAACCCATGTACAGGGAGCTTTGAAGTAACCAGGGAGAAAGAAAGCTATGGTCTTCTATGTCATAACGGTTCCCTTTAAGTACGAGGTCCCAGAAAAAGTATTCAAGCATGGTACTCCAAAGCCCAGTGTATAGGGGGCTTGCAGGAAGTTCGGTGCCCTTTTGTTTCGACGGGTCATCATAATCAGGGTCTCTTTAACAACTACTATTCTTGCCCGCGTTCCTGACTAAATTTATAGTATATTGGGTCCCAAATTAGTTATACTGGCCGCTATATCTATATATATATATATATATATGTATTTATCTATTTTTGTATGTATGGATATATATCCCTTTTTAGAGCCCGACAGATCCCTTATGGAACCCGTTAAGGATCCCTTTCAAGAAACCCTGTTCTAATTGTCAAAGCCCCTATACCTAGAGGCTCATACCCTACCCCTTTTTTAGGATACCTACTTTTATGGTTAGGATCTGTTATCTTAAAAAGTAGGCGCCCTAAAAAAAGGGTAGGGTATGAGCCTCTAGGTATTATGTGTTGTGCAGACTTGGCAACCCTGGCACCTCGCAGTCCGTTGCGGACGGCCCGCTGCAGTACGCGCAGCTGGGATGGCACACGCGGGCTCCGCGGGCTAAGACCACCTGGGAGGTTCCGAAAACTAGGGTATCTTATTTTGGGGGGTTCCTTACAATAAGGATCCTATCATTTAGGGTACTGTATTAGGGTCCCCAATTTTCGGGAACTCCCACCTCACAACAAAGGAATGGTTGGCCTGACAGCTGCAGACTCTGCCGCCAATTACCCAACAATTGTGAAGAATTGTACTTACAAATCCTCAATCATAATTACCATGTGGTAGGCTTTGGGGCCAAAGGACGTAGTTTCAACCGGGCATCAATGCTGTGTGTGGTGCGGTTCTTTCATGCCCTAAGCCCTGACCCGTCACGAACGCCATCTCCTTGACCCTGGTTTGGGGTTTAGGGTCTATGCCATCTCCTTGACCCTGAACCTGTCTCTTGGGATGCCTGGTAGACCAAAGGCGACAGCGATTCCGGTAGGGAGGATGAGGAGACGCCTCGGTTGGACCACGCAAGCTCAAGCTACAGGTTTTAAGGGTGTTAGAAGAATTCTAAGAGGATTTACGGCTTAGATCTTTCACGTAGTTCGTTGAGGGTTCTTCGAGTTTCAGCATGTTGGAGCCTCTGTAAAACTCACTACGGCAGCGTGTTAACTCCAAGCCGCAACAGAAAAACCAACAGGGAACTGGGATCCTGAAGTCCTGAAGCCATGCCAGCCCTAAACCCTAATATAGGGGTCTTAAACATTGGAGTTGTCGGAACAGGGTCTCGCCGCGTATTACAGTAAAATGATCAGGACATGGAACCCCAACACAACAATCTATAGCAAATTATGCAAAATTATTTCAGACCCCTATGTTAGACTTGAGCCCTAATGCAGGGATCTGTTCACAAACGCTTGGGGCTCGCTTGTCATACGAAACTGGGCTTCCGGCGGACCTCTAGCAGCGTCCAGCCAAAAGTGGCAACCTCCTTGCCAAACGGAGCTTGTGAATTTAGCTGAAAACTTTCCAGCTTTATGAAAGAAGGGTTAAGGTCAAGGGTCTATGGCCACGTTTTATGGGCCGTTTGGAAGATCACAAACACGACCTCTGCCACTGCTATTGCCAAGATGCCTTGGAAGTGGGATGTCTACGACAACTCGAAGCTACTACACCTGCAAAAACAGTACATCCACTGTCGGCACTCAACCGGTTGTGTTGAGGCTTACATTTTGAAATCCTGAGCTTCTGGCGGCCGGTGAGGAGGTGAGGCCTGAAACCTAGGACACAAGTGTTCTAAACAAGAAACCGTGGTTCAAAGAGCCCCCAACACGCAGTATCATCGCTCTCAACGAAGCCGAGGCCGCGGCCAAAAAGTCCCACTTGCCACCGTTCATCCGCCATTCCAGCTCAGCATCTGGATCGTTCGGAGTAGCCGCCAACCTCTCCGGTTGGTGCGTCGGGCTGTGTGTACTTTCAGGGCCATGCTTGACTTCTCAATTTGCTACCAGTAGTGCAGGAGCCTCACCCCGTGCGCGTTCTCCCGGATAGACCTGACATCGCCCGAGTCTGCGATAGGTCCAAGCTGTCAAGGCATCGCTGAGGCGTGGGCGCAAAGTAGAGCGATACTCTGGGAGCGAACCATGCCTCGCTGCGAGAAGTGCCCAGATGTCAGATCACATGGCATCTGACTTGATCTGGGCACCTTCACAAGTGTGCCAAACAGGTACGGTATAGAGGTGAGAGCCGGACCATGTTTGCAGCGAGCCCCATGCTGTCCCACAAATTCAAGCCTCGCGACGGCATAACTCTGGCAGTCTCAGATCGAATCACGACAGAGGCTCGGCACCCAATAGAGAGCCCAAAAACCCAAAACCCTAACCCCCAAAACCCTAAACCACTCCTGCTTCCAAGAACCCCGCGGTTAAGACCCCGGCCCGCCAAAGTACCTTCCAGCTTGATCTCACAAGGCTCACCAGGCGCTGATTCAGATTCGGATTAAAGCTAAGCTTAGGGGATGCCGCTGATAGACGGGCCGTTGTGATTCGAACAGGGTTTTGGGCTAAATACTATTATACAGCTTCTATACAGGGCCAATATTACGACGACTTCAGACCGTTACATTATATAGCACGTTAGAGAACCCGTTTCTCTGAAACCCAACTTCTCCAACGGCAACACAAAACCCTGAAACCTCTTAGTCCCAAATCCTTGAACGTCAAGCTGCCATCCGAAGCTTATCCCCTCAATCCTTCAAATCCTTGCACCTCCGAAATAAAACTTTAAATCCTCTACGCCATCAGATACCCTACATCCAAAACCTCATCAAAACTCTAAACCCTCTGTTTCGAAGGCCGCCTTGGGGCGGATAGAGCCGCGCCGGGTCCGGCGACAAGCCAAGGCCGGATGAGGTGATCTTCGAGCGCAGCACCCGGAGCCTCGCCCAATGCTGGTCTGGTCTGTGCATGTGTGCGTACATTGGTACTCTTGCGGGTGAGAGACGTACATAGTATACGTAAGACGTACAGAGTATACGTAAACATATATATCTATATATATATATACATATATATATATATATATGTAACATATGTATATATATATATATATATATTTCTATGGATGGTACCACTCCTGTAGATACCTAACTATATATATATATATATATATACATATGGATAACCATTCATATACATTAATTACACATATATATATATATATGGAATGTATACAGCTAGATCGCCATAAAGCTAGATACACAAATGGATAGATGGCGAGAGAGACAGAGAGAGAGAAAGAGAGAGAGACAGACAGACAGAGAGAGCGAGAGAGACAGAGAGAAAGATGAACAGTCCTTGGAAAATGCCTCTAGTCTCTCTCTCTCTCTCTGTCTCTCTCTCTCTCTCTCTCTCTCTCTCACTCTCTCTCTCTCTCTCTATCTTTCTCTCTCTATCTCTATGTATGTACATATATACATATATATATATATATATACATGTTGTGTTTATGTATGCGTGTGTATCTCTATAACTCCCTCTCTCTCTATGTGCATACTTACAGACATACGTAGCTGTCCTACATTTTCTAAGGAAAACATACAGCACTCAACTGTAGTACTATGTGCATGATAGCACCTGGTCGCATATCGTACCACATTCTGTATTGTGTTCTCCGTCAGAACAGACAAACACACGCTTTACACACTCTCCCTCTCTCTCACTGTATATAAACGGGTTGGTGGAGCCTAAACTCCTAAGCCCTGAGGACTCCGGCCCAACTCTACTATGTAAACCTAGCTTCTTCGGTGAGCAGACTGCCAAGCTCAACATCGCCATCATCAAATGCTTGAAGCGATGAAGTCCGCTCTCTGTATACACATACAAACACTCATGCACACCAGCATGCAACAAATGCACATACGTGTGGTTGAGGAGCGGTGGATACTTCTACATCGAGGCATTCGTGTCCAAGCGCACATGCAGTCACAAAGACGCAAGCACCAAACATCTCATACTCGGTCCATGACACGCTGCGTAGAGGTGTGGCCGGATTGAAGTCCGACTGTTTGAGCACGGTGTGTTCAGCCACTCCCGCTTCGGGACCCGTGCGCTTCTTCAGGCTGGAAGTGTGACTTTGCGATGCAGGCTGAATTCAAATTTAGTACCATCTAGAGAACTTGATCATAAGGCCGACCTCGGAATGATGATCCAAGCTGCTTAACCTCATACCTCAAACATGATGTCGTAGGGTTCAAGAGCAGTAAAGCGAGATAACAAAGCTGTGGTGACGACAGTTGGCGGGCTTGTGATACCAGGTTGTCTGAAGTTGTCACTGAGGCTCTCGCCCATATTCGCGGCCCAGCAACTCTATCCTGCTGTCGTGAACTTTGCTTGCAGAAATTTGCAAGGGCTGTTTGATTGGTGCCTGAGCTAAGGCCGCAAGCTCTGAGCCGGCTTTCCATGGTTCATAAGGACCCTTTAGGGGTGTAGGGGGCCTTAGTACCGATAATAAAGACTTAATAGGACCTAGCTAAGGAGGTATAGTCCCCGAGCCTCCTCCCCCCTTAACCCTAGGCATCTAAGGACTCATATTGTAATGCGTTGGGCCCAAAAACCATAGTATATAAAGCTTTTGGGCTATTTTGATGCCCAGGGTAAGGGTCCCTACGACTGGTTGTCAAGAACTCTGCCGAAGCAGGGTTTTGCAGCATATTGAGACCGCTCGCCAGGAACCCTCACAACATCAAAGACCAGGTTACAACTGGACTTATAGACAACTTGGAAGTACCACAACCAACGTTATAAGGTAACTTTAGCTCCTCTTTGTGCTCGGCAACGAAGCCCTCAGCATCCGAGAGAAACCGCCCAACGTCCCGTTGAGCCGAATCAGACCGCAAAAGACAGCCAACGCTGAAAGTATTCGGGAGGTAAGATCAGCAAGAAGAAAAGAGCCAACAGGAAGATGAGAACCAGGTGGTGCCATCATCGTCAAGAGCGTTAGGGAATGGCGGTGCTCATGCTGGGACCGCTTCTGTCGCGGCAGCAGCAGTAGCTGCAGCAGTCAGCAAGCGCGATCCCCGATGCCGAAAATCGCCGAAGAAAACAGGAAAGAAACGCAACCGCCACATGTCAGAAAGAAGCCGGTAATGGCGCATGCGAGCCGAAATGGTAGTGAGCTCCCAAACTTTAGCCCCGAAAGCCCAAACCCTCTTGGAGAGAGGCCTGCCTAAACCCCCCCAAAGTAGGTAAAATCATGGCTCATTATTCTAGATACTTTTGGGGTCCAGGTAAGTGCAACGGCCGAACCCTCTTTGCGAGCGGTCGGAGGCCTCATGTCCAGGGTCTCCCCGATGTCTGCCTAAAAAGTGCGACCATCCGGATTCATCATATCATACTACACTATACTATACTAAAACATACTCTACAAAAACAAGACCACACTCTACTCTACTATACTGATACTATACTATTCTCTGCTTCATTATGCTATACTCTACTGTACTATATTACACTCTACGTACTATATCATGATAAACCAAGGAGTATGTTCTAAAGTCATGCAGCAGCTTGGATGACCATTGAATTAGATTTTGGGGCTTGCTCGCACAAACACATCACCCAAGCCCCATAAGTCTTATTTATAACATAAAACCTAAACCGTATAAACATTGAACCTCACAAGCCGTCACAAGCCCGACAAACCCCATAAGACCCGAACCCTATAAACACTACCAGCACTACTCCGGACCCTATAAACCCTACACCGTAGCCCCTCTAAACCCTAGAAGCCGCGCACCCCTATCCCCTAAACCTATTGCGAACCCTCTAAACCCTATATACTTTAAACACTGAACCCCTAAGCAAGCCCCCTAAAAGAAACCTGAAGCCCTACACCCCTAAGCTGTAACCCTAAAACCCTCAACACCTATATTCCCTGTTGTGGACGAGCTCGCTGGGCCGGCTTGCCTAGTACCGGAGGCGGCTCCTCGACGTTAGTGCCACATGAGCTTTCACGAGTTCTGAAGTACTGTTGCTACTAAGTTAATCATTCTTCTTTCTATGATAATAGCAAACAGTTATAATACTAACATCGTCGCCGTAGTACTAGTAGTACTAGAAGTGCTAGTAGCAGTCGTCCTCGTCGGCAGTAGCAGTAGCAGTAGCAGCAGCAGTGGCAGTAGCAGTAGCAGTAGCAGTAGCAGTAGCAGCAGCACGAGGAGCAGCAGCAGCAGCAGCAGTAGCAGTAGCAGTAGCAGTAGCAGTAGCAGTAGCAGTAGTAGTAGAAGTAGTAGTAGTAGTAGTAGTAGTAGCAGCAGGAGCAGGAGCAGGAGTATTAGTAGTAGTAGTCGTCATATACTCTTGATTTTCTTCTTCTTCTTCTTCCGCAAACCTGTTTTGCTTGTCTTGGCTAAGGCACGGGCAAACACATAGGCAGAGGTCACGCCTGGACTCAGAAGAAATCGCAGCCTTGGCATTTGAGTTTGGGGTCCAGAGTCTAGGCGTTTGCCTCCCCTTCCGTACCACTTCTGGTTTTCTCACGGTTCCTTCTCGTTTCGCCATTATGGTGTCGGGAATGCCGGCTTGGCGGAAATTACTGGGCAGGGCCCTCGCAAGCAAAAGAGGTCAACGCCTTCCGCCCTTCCTACTTCCCAGGTCCCATCCCCCGCAGCGAACCACTCAACAGGGTAGGTTTTGGGACTTAACACAAGAGAGTATGGCTTTGGCGTGTATTGCAGTATTAGTGCAACTCTATACGATAGAATCTGATAGAAGCATTGAATTCAGCGAGAGAGAGTGAGAGAGACAGAGAGAGAGACAGAGAGAGAGACAGAGAGAGAGAGAGAGAGAGAGACAGAGAGAGAGAGAGAGAGAGAGAGAGAGAGAGAGAGAGAGAGAGAGAGAGAGAGAAGAGAGAGAGAGAAAGAGCGAGCGAGCGAGCGAGCCCATGAACCGCCTACGAAATCCTAAACCCCAAATCCCTCACCCTGAAAACTCCCAATCCCCAACAACAAAATGCGCAAAACCCTGAGCCCCAAAACCCACAATACCCTGGCCCCTAAACCCATGCAACCCTTGTAAGACCCCTGCTGTATCCCCACAAAAACCCCTGTCTACCCTAAAAGTCTCACATCAAAGGTTCCGACCCTCTGGAGGGAACTCGAACAGCGAGAGGTGGGGCCGCATTCAACAGTGCGGCTCCCTGGGATCTACACCGGAGTTTACGGTGAGGATGCTTTGCCTCGAAACCTTTAGATGTTCGCATTTTCTCCTAAACACTGTGCGGCACCTTCTTTAAACTAAACCCCCAACAGTAGGTAAAACAATGGCCCAACTCCTCCAAAAGGCTATTATTCTACATACTTTCGGGGTCCAGGCAATCATGGGCACATATCGGAGTTTCCGAAAATGGGGGGTACCTTATTTTGGGGGGTCCTTATAGTAAGGATCCTACTAGTTGGGGTTCGATATTAGGGTCCCCTATTTTCGGAAACTCCCATATTTTGCTCTCATGCCTACGGTATCCACACATCCTGGTGTCTTCGGACTGGGAAGCCCGAAGCCCTCAACTTCACCTGGCCCCGAACTGGGTAGACCAACCCCTTGTCCGGGAACATGCCAAAATCCCTAAAATCCGATGTGCCCCGACCTTCAAGCCGTCCCCCCTTTGGCCAACCCTAGGAAGTACCGAAAGTCCGAGATGGTACGAAAACTTACGCAAAATCCCGTAAAGCCCCGCAAAACCCAGCTGAAAGCCGAACAAACAACCCACGCAGGACCTCGGAAGAGGAAGGCGGCGTCAGGTCCACGCGGAGAGCCACAAGCTGACCTAGGTTCACCAGACAATACCTAAATTCCCAAAAGTAGGTAAAATAATGGCCCAACTCCTCATAAAGGCTATTACTTTACATACTTTCGAGATCCAGGTAATAATTACCACATGTTCCGAGCATTATTCGGAGCTTACGCCGGAGACCCCAAAATTAGAAAAAATGAATACTACTGAGTCACCAGTAACCCCTTAAGAATAAGGATACTACATTGAAGGAGACCACCCCAAAAAAAAACAGGAAAAATGGTATATACTACTGAGGAGCCTGGTGACTATCCCTTGGCAACGCCAAGGAATACTCGGCACGCCCGGCACCTCAATGCCGCGCAGGGGAGTCTTTCCAAAGTTTTTTTCTTTTTTGTTGGGGGGGGGGAGGTTTTGAGTTTAGGGTTTCGATTCTTGTTCTGGGGTTTAGGGCGGAGTTGGGTCTTGGGGCTTGAGGGTTGAAGAGGGTCATACCCTACCTTTTTTAAGGTACCTAGTTTTATGGTTAGGTTATCTTATATTGCAAAGTACAGTAGGGACTTTTTAAAAAAGGGGTAGGGTATGACCCCAAGAAGGAGAAGACCCTGAAGCCGAAAACTGAAGCCAGATTTACTGGAGCTGAATTGGAGGGGAAGCAAGTCCAAGTGCTATATGGCCTAGGATCCACTAAACCCCTACCCTAGGCCCTAAATCCCTTAAACCCAAAACCCTAAACCCTTCACCCCTTGAAAAGGCCACGGCTTCCCTTAGTCAGGGAGGTCACCAGCTTCCGGGATGCCCTTGAGCATCCGGCAAGACGTCTCTAAGCGTATTGAACATGAAACTTCCAAACAAAAACACCGAACCGCAACACCCTGAGACCAATATCTTTAGGGTTTAAGAAACCCTAAACCATAAACCACAATCCGACCTTTTTTTTTGGACGACCCTTTTCCGTCTGCCGAACGTCCAGAAAGCGGGCTCCCGCTGGGTGTGTCTCGCGACAAAGGCGCGCTAGCGCAAGCGATAAAAGGGAACCCACACCTGTCTGAAGGCTCACCACAGCGGCAATGCCTATATGCCCCCGTCAGACACCAGATACCCCGAGACCTAACTCACACAACTGCACCGCCGCAACTCTGGGCATACAGGCACATGGTTCGCTCCAGTGGCCCTAGCCGAGAAAACCACACAAGATCAGAAGACCGACAGCCACTGAAGACCACACGCTCCCATCCCATTACCGCATAAACCAAAGCCTTCAAACCTCCTCGGCGTAGCTGGGACAGGCTTTTTGCACACAGGCCGACAGCACAGCTGAAGTTCACAGTCTGGCAACCCGCTGGAGGATGCAGTGCGGGATTGCAGCTGGCACCTCCTTTGCCGAGTGATCCAGCGGCCAGCGCGGCTGATAGATGTCGGCATCGCCGAACAGTTCGTCGGCCGCGCCATCAATCCAGCACTCGCCGTCCCGTAACATGTTGAGGCCAATTGCAGGCGGCTTCTTCCCGAGCCGCACCAAGCGGCCCCAGCGGCTCACTTCGTAAAAAGTGCATGCTGGGTTTGCTGTCTTCTCCCCATACCGTGGGCACCCCAGGCCAACGAAGAGGTCAGCACTGTTCAGGCAGTCGAAGACCGCACGCTTGGTGCTCTTGCCAGCCGCTGTGTCAACGATGATGCAATGAACTTTGAACTTCCGCAACCTCTGCCTTAGGAGCCGTGCCTGCTTGGAGGGGCCTCCTCCAAACCGGAAGGAAAGAAAGACCTTCCGCAACGGCTGCTTCTTTGATCCGTTGGCGAGGCGGACCATGGCTACAAGGCAGAGCGGCGCGCGGCGAGCTGAGAGATGCTTGCCTTATTTTCTCCGTAAGCAACATGGGCGGCAGTGCAACACGTGAATTGGTCATTAGATAAGTAGCTGTTCTCTCTCTTTCTCTTCTTGCTGGTCTTCTTGTCCTTCCTGCTCTTGCGGCGGGAACTTTTCGCCTTCGATTTCCTCAGTCATAAAGTTTGGCGGTTCACGGAATGACAAGTATCTGTAGACATCAACTCAACTCCCGAAGTTGCAGTCAAACATCTTTGCTGCTTGGCTGGAACTATCGTCGTCGGAGCTTCCGTCCTCCTCGTCATCGTTATCGTCATCCGCTTGGCGTGCAACCTCCATAGTAGAAAGTTAGGACAGGCACTCGGCGTCGGAGCGAGATGATCATGTAATTCCCTGCCTCGCCACCTTGAGGAGCTTGCATCGACCCCACACCACCCATCATCTGGCCCATCGGACCCATGGTAAGCCCCATCGGGCCCATCCAGGGAACCCATGCCCCGGGCGGTACCGACGATTGTGGGATACATTGTTTTTTTCTCAAAGAAGGCATTCTGTGCCGTGCTTGAGCAAAAACTTCGCACATTTCGACCCATTCGCATCTGAACATTAAAACCCCAACCATACCGCTTTAAAAGCTACCGCTCGAGGCCCCAATTACACCCCAACAAAAACCCAACATAATCCCAATATCATTCTGCCTGGGATTTTTTCAGGTTTTTGCGGTTTCCATTGCGCACACACACACACACACACACACACACGAATCAAAGCAGTACAACTTAAAGCAGTATGCTTGGCGCTGTCCAGATTTGGGCCCAAAACAAAAAAACACGGGCACCTTCGTGCACGGACTAGCCAAGGGCCTGGCGCCAGAACAGCGGGATCGATAGCCCAATACTCTGTACCAGGTACACCTGCCGGCAAACATGTGATCAATATGTACGTATGCATGCATGCAGCATCCATGTATATAAGTAGATGTCATCTACATATCCATATATATATATATATATACACATCTGCATATAATCCCTCAGATGTACTACTTACGCCAATCATTCGTACATACACATACGTGTATATGCCTGTATTTTATATATATATATATATATATATATATCTATTATACAAGTACATTTGTATAATATGTACATGTATATATATATACATATCTCTTACAGAGAGAGAGAGAGAGAGAGAGAGAGAGAGAGAGAGAGAGAGAGAGAGAGAGAGAGAGAGAGAGAGAGAGAGAGAGAGAGATAAGAGAGATAGGGAAAGAGAAGAGAGAGAGAGAGAGAGAGAGAGAGAGAGAGAGCTGAGAGCGAGAGAAGAGAGAGAGAGATAGAGAGGAGAGAGAGAGAGAGAGAGAGAGGGAAGATAGAGAGAGAAAGAAGAGAGAGAAAGAAAGAGAGAGAAAGAGAGAGAGAGAGAGAGAGAGAGAGAGAGAGAGAGAGGGAGAGAGAGAGAGAGAGGAAGGGAGGGAGAGATAACGACAGAATGAGAGAGAAGACACAGCAACAAAGTGGAGACAGACGGAGAAAGAGTTCTTTCGCAACGTGTTGCAGGTGTCTTACAGCACAGGATAGTATTAAAGACGAAAAATTGTCAGTGTCCGCGATCATGTGGCATGGCATGAACTCGGCAACCCTAGTTCTTCACTCTTCAGCCGAAATAAATCAAATCATATGTCTGAGTAGCGCAGTGTCAGCATGTGGGCTATGTAACTGTGGCACTTTTCATTCGCTTTCAATCCAGTGCTGGTTGCAGCTCACTGATGCTCTCCAGCGGCTGACGCAAAGGTGCAAAACGTCGAGAGCAATCAGTGCGAGGAGGGATTTCTGCAGGAAGGCTGCGTCCGGAAGATCTCCGAGGTCTCACAAAACCTGGCAAAGACGTCCAGCGCCAGCGTCCAGGACTTCTTGTAGCTCGCCTGTCGTTGAAAGAGTTCCGTCTCCTTGTGGCCATCCTCGTCCCTCGCGCGCTCCCGATCCGGGAAGATCTCCGCGGTGGTGTCTGGAGCCTGAACTCAGCAGATTCAGTACACCTATGTAAATTTCGGAAATCCTAAACCCTTATAGAGCCCTTTAAAGGAGCCCTTATCGTACCCTTATAGTAGCCCTTTAAAGGGTCGGGGATTATTCTTGAGCAGTTTGCGGCTTCGCGATCTGCAAACAGCGCTAGCTCGAGAAAGTGATTGAGAACGAGCTGTGAAGCAACGAACCAGCACAAGAAACCATAAGGTAGGGGCCTTAATAATTAGAATAGGGTTGTGCTATAAAAGGGCCCCTATCTATCTATCTATGTATATATATATATATATGTATACACATGTGTATATATATATATATACTATAATTACAATAAGGAACCCTCCAAAATAATGTAGGTAACTATTAAAGCACCACAATTATAGAAACCCAGTATAGATCCCTTATAGAGCCCTTTAAGAATCCCTTTAAAGGAACCCTACATACGTTACTGTCTATTCTAGATCCCTTATAGGAGCCCTTTAAAGGAACACTATATATGAATATGTTACTGTCCATTATAAATCCCTTTAAGGATCCCTTTAAAGGAGCCATACATAAATTACTGTCACCTCAAAGCAGCGCAGCAGCGCCGCGTGCACCGTCGGGGCAGTTGGCCCTCAGCCTCCGGCGTCTCGCGTCGGGCTGGGCTCCTTGCGGAAAGCCGTCTTATTGAGGGTCTATTTTGGGTTTGTTTAATGTGGTCTCCTGATTATTAAACCCCCCCCCCCCCCCCCAAACAAGTCCAGTCCCTGTAATATTAACGGGGGGTCCGCATATCTCTGACCTGAAGTTGTTTGGGGGGTCCGGGGTCGAAGTTGTTTGGGGGCCGGGGGTAGTACAGTAGTACAGTAGTACATTAGTACAGTAGTACAGTAGTAGTACAGTAGTACAGTAGTACAGTAGTACAGTAGTACAGTAGTAGTATAGTAGCAGATTTTTGCAGCCCTCTTCGCTCCAGCAGCCCTCTTGCTCCGCTCTTTTCGCAACCTTCGACTCTCAACTCCGTTGGCATACTGTTCTCTTTGGAAGCCTCTAGTTCTGAAAGCGAAAATACTCAATCTCTTGGGTTGGACTTTTCACTATTCCGAGGACCTCTGGGAAGCATGGCAGCTGTGACTTTGGCCTCGGCGGAGGAGTCTCTAGGCAGCTCTAATTACCCTAATTAAACCCTAAACCCTGGCAAAACTCTTGATTTTCCCAACCTCTAATTAAGGAAGCTCTTCGATGCTCTGAAGCTCTACGATCGGCGCAAAGACAGCATCGGCTGGGCTCGCAGAAGCCTCGTGTCCACGAGGGCCATCCTCTGGAGGCTGTGGGCTCTTGGTGCTAATGAAAGCGAAGCACACTCTAATTAATTAAACCCGAAACGAATCCCCGAAGGTGGATCTCTCAAGTCCTGGCTCTGGTCCACTCTGTGCCTGGCTCTGACGAGACTACCTTTGTGGCCCTCTGTGTCCTAGCTTCAATCCAGGAACCTCTATTTCACCTAAAACACTAATTAATTACACCCTAAACCCTAAACTCTAAACCCTCAACCCTAATCCTATCTAATTAACCCAAACTCTAAAGCATGTCCCAGGCATCTCTGTGACCTGGCAGCTCTCCGTTCAGCTCATCTACAGCCAGATCTCTTTCGATGCGGACAGACTCTAATGGTGAATTAATGCCTTAACCTCTCTAAGGAAACCCTAAGTAACTAAGTAAGTAGCAGAGCCCCAAACCCCAATTGCTCTCTAATTGCGTGCAGGATGATGCTCTGGACCCGGACATGATCTGCGAAGTTTCTCTCAACATCCGGTGGCTCTGGGATGAGTGCTTTGGCAATGTTTGGTGTCTTTCCTTCTGGTCCATTTTCTTTAACTAATTAATTAACTAGTGCAGTGCAGCCTCTGAGGTCCAAGCTGGTGCGGCGGGCGGATGTGGAGGAGGTTTTTGCCAACTCTGCACACGCCCGCTGGCTCTTCTGTCGAGAGCAGGAAACTCTGGCCCACTTGGTGTACCACTCTGAGCCTCTAGTTTGCAGTGATTAATTAATTAGGTTGGGTTTAGTCTTTGGGGTTCAAGGTTGAAGTGTTTGTGGGGTTTGGGGTTTAGGGTTGTGCTAGTTAATTAATTTCATTCGCACTCTCATCGGGGTGCCTCTGGCAGGCACGCCCGGTTCTCTGGCTTCTCCTGGCCGTCTCTGGTGCACTCTGTATCTGGCCTGCAAACCTCCCCCTTAAAAACCCTAAACCCTAAATCCCGAATTAAACCTTAATTAATTAGACTCTCATTAAATAGCCTTCAGGCCGAGCTGCTTCGCTCTGACACTTTGGCGAAAGCTCTGAAGCAGATGGCTGCGCCGGATCGCTATCCTGCCCGCGGAGGCTCTGAGGGCTCTGAGCAGCCGCCTCCCTCTGACAATGTGAACTCTACGGCGGCTGCGACGGCTGGGCCGGCCTCTGAGACGGATGCTCTGGCCGCTGTGGCGGAGGAGTGAGCTCTTCGGCAGAAAGTCTCTCTTTTGTGGCTCGCTCTCTTTTTTTAAAAAAATTAATTACTCCTAAACCCTCACATCCGAGGCTTAGAGAGGCCTCTCCGTGGATCTCTCTGATACTTGGCTCTTTATTTAATTAACAAACCCACCACCCTAATTAATTAATCAAAGCCTAAACACCCAAACCCTAATTAAAGCCCAAACTCTAAACTTACCCAAACCCTTAATTAATGCCTCGAATCTCTCAAACACTAAACCTCAAACTCTAAACTTAGCCAAACCCTTACTGCCTTAAATCTCTCTAAATTCAACCCCCAGACTCTAAGCTTACCCAAAGCCTTAATTAATGCCCGAAAACTCTCAAGCCCTAAATCCCAAACTCTATGCGAGGCATTGGGGTGGAGCCTCTGTGCCTCGATTTTGGCGACGCTTGGCTCTGGTTTTAGGGTTTCGGGGTTTAGGGTGAAGGGGTTCCAGGGTTTGGGGTTCGTAATTAAATAGGTTTCGGGTTTTTCCTAATTAATTAAGCCCTATGTAGCTAAGGCTTGTACCCGTCTTAAACCTAAAACCTCAAAACCCTAATTAACCCTAAACCCTAAACCGTGGCTCTACACCCTAACTAAACCTTAAACCCTCTAAATGCGAGGAGCTCTTTTGGCAGCCTTGGCTCTCGTCCGGCAGCACTCTATGCTGCTCGACGATTTTCTACTACATATATATATATATGATAATATTTATGTATATATAATTAGAACAATAATAGCAATAATAATGGTAATAATAATAATAATAAAGATAGCCATATACACATATATATATATATTTATTTATATATTTATTTATTTGTACTTATATTTACATACTCCCATCCCAGGCTTCGATGAGCCGGGCTCTACATGATCGAGAGCTCGCAGATGGAGCTGGTTTTTTAACTCTAAGCCCTAAATACTAATCCTTAAACCCGAAACCCTTACCTTTACTTCGAGCCTAAACCCTAAACTCTAAAACCCTTAGACCTGAACTCTCAGGTAATCAACCCAAACCCTAAACCCCCCTAAACCCTAAACCCTTACAGGCCTTACCTTTACCTTCGAGCCTAAACCCTAGACTCTAGAACCTTAAAACCTCTCCACTCTGCTAGAGCTTCTCTCTGGAACTGTCGTCCGAGCGACTCTCTGCTTGGCTCTGCAAAAGAGGTGTCTCTTTTCTGCTTTGGGGTTTACGGTTTGATTAGGGTTTAGTTTCTAGTTGTTTTCGCACAAACACACATTCTCTCTCTCTCTGTCTCTCTCTCTCGCTCTCGCTCTCTCTCTCTCTCTCTCTCTCTCTCTCTCTCTCTCTCTCTTTTAAACTCTGTTTTGTGGAGAACATTCAGCCCGGGAGCTCTTTTGCTCTGAGCATCTCGGCC